TAAGATCTATAGGGAAGGTTCGAAACACAGCATCCATTCCTCACAAAGATCTCACCAAAAATGTCCATCTGAATGAGTCTAAAATGTGCTTGTATCAAGCTAAACGTGACATGTTTTCTTCTGAATAAACAAGACGCATACAGTTTTCACCACATGTCTATTCAAAAGACGTTCTCATCTCTCCGCAATCTCGTAATTCACACATATCTCAATGATACAATCAAATATAAATATAGATGATCCCATTCTTGTTCGTACCCATGACACTGGGTTCCAGAAACTTCTACTGAGTACAAATGTCAATGATGCACAGCTATTTCACTACTAAACTCTCTGGTGTTTCTGGAATGAAATCGTCGTTAATATTGTAGAACATTATTGTATATGTATTGAAGATGAACTGTGAATAAGTATTAGTATCTATAAGAGAGAGAGAAAATATATATTTACAAAGTATGAAATAGAAATAAAGTAATCAATGAAAAAGTGAAATGTTGAAGTGTTAGATAAAGATTAGAGAGCAAGCATATACAAAAAAAAAGATGAACAAAATACGAACTGCAAGAATATGACAGTTCATAGTTAAATGTTCACAAATCATAGTATTAGTAAAGAAAAATGAACAAGAAAATGATTAAATCCCAGATTTAGTATATAAGGAATAAATCGATAACATGAAGAGATACAATGCTTATAACACTTTCCTATAATGATAATCCAAAGGTAACTAATCTTAATAAGAAACTGGGAAACTAAAGTACAAAATGAAAAGAAAGGATTGTTACATATTTAATGAGGTAACAGCTGGTGAATTGTTCGAAAAGCTGCTTGTGTTGTAGATTCCATTTTCGTCAATTTAACTCGTTTTGGTTTCTTGTGAATTAAAAGACTTTGTAATGTTCGATTTAATATAGTACCAATAATCAGTCTTGTACTTTTTAAACGCGAACCTGAATAGACATAGTATTTTCCCCAAATTTGACGATATTCTTTCTTAAAATTTATTAATGAGCCACTTTCGAATGTGTAATGCAAATATATTTGATCCTTATGTTCATAGTGCTTTGGTTTTGGAATTAATTGAGCACTTGTCTGAAGTTGTGCTTCATTTTCTCTTCGTGTTGGTCTATAAAGTAATTCATGATGTAGTTGTTGATACGATTCACTATTTAATTCAGTCCACACTTTCATAGCATTATATTTCATGAAGAAGTTTTTCATATGTTGTTGTATAAATTTTGATGGATAGCCATTGTGGGTGTGGGTGTGATAAGAAATATTCGCCGTTCCACGACAACAGTTGTTTCTGTCTTGGTGGGAC